GTTATAACGTGATGTGTTGCAGATTATACAATTCTAAACAAGATAACATTAATCGATTATAATTATTCTAATATCCTATTCGTTAGCGAGCTCAATGTCGAACCGAAATTATGCGTATGACCTTCCGAGCTGTTCATATTTTATACTCTATTAGCTACTGCCAGAAAACCTTGCATTAATTGTAATCTAACATCGAATCGTATTATGGACAAAACTTTAATGAAATAGCCATGTGTGAAAACTGCACGAAGTTGTTACTATATTTCTTACTTATTAGAACAGCCCACACTGCTGTGAACTGAGGAGGAATCACACTGCGTTACAAAAATACTTAAAATGCGAGACATGTTGACTCACATTTTTATACTACAAAACAAATGTTCTACTATATATTCCACGCATTCTCGCTGACATTTTGCAGTCAATAATATTATAGGCTGCTAAACAAATTTATGATTCTAACTTTCCCTTTCAATGGGCTAAGAATCTGTATTAAGAAGTTGTGTTGGAAAGTAACAAAGTTTAGCTGAGGTTCAACCAAATAATTCCTTATGTTAGGTCCTTAACATGTCACCTAAGCGATGATATCAGTACACATTTTCCTCCCATGCTATTGCACGTTTGATGATATATATCATAATATATATCGTTATATATCATGAAACACTGCAAACCAGTCTCTCCTTTTTATTCCTGATAGAGCATAAGGATTTACTGCTGCCACGTTTACAATCAGCAAATTCGAATAGCCATGTGAAGTACTTGCAACAGTATGAATAACTGACACAAAAATTATATCATGTTTATTTATCTATTTAAATTTAAGTGCCACAATTATTACAAAAATGGACAAAAGGCGACCTTAAAGCTCAAAGGATTCTCTGCCAGTCAACCTTTAGGCATAATGAAATCCACGAATGCGGCGATAATAAATATTGTTAATAAAAATGAGAGAAAGTGATTTACTATAAACATACACCAGTAAAATTAACTACAGAAACATTTATTTAAAATAAAAACTAAATATACATGTTTCCTCAACTTCAGTTTTACTCTTAAGTACAGGCAGAGCCATAGCAGTGCTAATACTTGTAAAATATCATTCTTATTTGCACGTAATAAAAATGCTGTTCATCCTAAATGGTAACCTACTATTAAATACTAACGAGCCCAATCACTGTACCAAACACTCAAGTTTTTATTATTCAAACATATTTTTTTTTGCTCGCATGTATTTTTTTCTCATTAAGCAAACATTATTCAGCTTGTCATGTTGAGGCAAACCGTTATGTTTACACAACATCTCTATTCTTACCGTGAGTGATAATTATTGATTTAATCAATAATCAGAACATGACTCATGATTAATGCGCACTATATCGGTAGTGAGAAAAAGCGAATTTTCCACACGAATTCTAGCACAATAGCTGTCCTATAAGGTACAACCTAAGAGGAGGGTGGGCTCTCATTAAACATTAGTTGGGAATTTGGGATTTCTTCCTTTGCCTGGCAGATTAAAAAAATATCATTTTCGACTATAATGTTAACACAGTAAAGTCACGAACGGAGATTGATTCCATTCGAACACTTGCAAGGTTCATCAAAATTAAGTCCGCAAAAAAGTGCCTAAGAAACTTGGTCGGGGAAAACCAAGTCAAGGCCAAAAGTCTTGTTCATAATTAGTGCTTCCAATCGATAGTTCGAATAATAAATTGGATCGAATATTCGAAAATTAACATTCCAATATTCGAAACAAAAAAAAAACAATAAAAATTTAGAACGTGGTGTCAAAATGTCTGTTTTTGACGGTCTTTTATTAAGCCATTTCTCTACCTCTGAATTATTAAAAAGGTCTTTGGAAAAAGTGGCTACGCTACGAATAATTTACAGTAGTCACCGAACATTGCCACTACAGCTTTGCGATCCGCTGCACCAGGTCGGTTATTCTAGCTCTACTACGGACATCATCATTTCTGATTCGATTACGTAGAGAAACACCGAGCATAGCTCTCTCCATCGCTCGCTGTGCGACTCTGGGCCTTCTTATGAGGCCCGTAGCCAACGACCACGTGCACGACACTCAGCTCCGTTTCATCACTGGCACCACGCACTGTTCGAAGACCTTGGTCTTCAGGCACTGAGTGATTTCGGACGAGAAGACATCATTTGAAGTCGTTGAGCATTGCATGGAGATCCTCCAAAGTGTCTGCCATAACGACTATATCATCGGCAAATCAAAGGTGAGTGACATACTTGACGTTGATGCCAAGTCCGCTCCAATCCAGAAGCTTAAAGACATCTTCCAACGCAGCGCTAAACAGTTTTGAGGAGATCACATCTCCCTGTCGCACTCCTTCCTACAGTTGGAGAGGTCTCGAAGTCTGATCTTGTATGTATACGGACTGCCATGGTGCGTTTTCGTACAAACTCTTTAGCTCTTGGATGTAATGATAGTCGATACGGCACCTCTGTAAATTTAACAACACAGCCCATGTCTTACCGATTCAAAGGCCTTCTCATAGTCCACAAACGCTAAGCATAGTGGCATTCATCGGTCTTTTGTATAATCTGCCGCAGCATGTGTGGTCTATAACGCTGAAGCCTTTCCGGAATCAGGCTTGTTCGGGCTGGAAGTTGTCTAACCTATTAACAAGACGATTCGTAATGACTCTCGAAAACAACATGTAGACGTGGCTCAGCAGCGAGATTGGTCTGTTGTTCGTAGAAAGGGTGTTATCGCCTTTTTTGAAGAAAAGCACCACCACGTCCTGCTATTGATACTACGCTATTACATTAAGAATATTACTTTAAAGATAGCTGTATGTGTTGTTAAATAAATAAGTAAATATATACGTCCAATTTCGGTATCATTCAGGCCCGTATTATTGAAAGATTCTCAGTGATTGATCTAGTCTTGAGCATAGTTAGAAAGATATGTCTCGCTATATATAGCACATAGCGACATCCCTTTCTAACTGTACTCAAGTAAAGATCAACACTTAGTTATCATTCTGTAATACGGGCCTTAGAGGGCAAATCCAAATTGGCCTACTTTGTCACCAACTTACTGTGGCCACTATTCCAACACGATCAAAAAGATCTGGCGGCTCCTATTTTTGTCATACTATTCGCAAGTGGAATTCTTTGCCCGCTCCCGTGTCTTCTATGATCTGGTGTCATCTAAAAGAGGCGTGAAGAAACATTCGTGCAGGCTGGCAAGATGAGGATGGTTGGCGTAGTAGTTCATAACTGCTGCACCAACTATCTTCGCGTCTGGACTTTACCATCACTTAACATCAGGTGGGGTAGAGTCATTTGCCTACCGGGCTATAAAAAACACTTAGACTTTTAAAAACACGATTAATAAAACGGTTTTCACTCTTTAATTTATATATTCGAAAACCAATTTTTTTCGAATTATTGCAAGCTCTACTCATAATCTTAACAGAAATCCGATTGTATAATTGTGAGGTGCATTTCATAATTTTTAATATCATCGTAATACATAACTTAACAGCAAAACAATACTACTATGTAGTGTAGTTTATTTATAGCGTGGTATGGCTGTCAGTGCTGCTGTATTATCACACCTTTTTTAAAAACAATATGCTATCTTAAACTCTGATAATTTAATGCATAACGTTTTAATTATTATGCCTCCTATACATGTCGAAAGATGTGTCCGCAGACGTCGACAGATGCATCAGCAGATGGATCACGGCTGACGACGTTTATATGTGTTCATTCTCGACAGACGCAAATCGTACGACCATTTACAACATTTTAAAAAAATGTTGAGATCGTAGCTGCCGCAGATATTTATTTATTTATGATTACTTTTAACTACTACATCACAGTAGAATTATTAAAAAGAAATGGAACAAAAGAAAGTGGCGGCTGCTAGCTATTTTTCGGATTCCACAGGTAGTTCTAGTTTAGTTCTAGGTAGTCCTGCTTGAATTCAAGGAATTTAAATGTTTCATTGGTGCTCATAATATTAGCCATTTCGGAGAACGATAGTAACAAACGAGCAAAAATAATTGCAAGCACACGTCCACTCTCATTCGCAACTCCAGTACTACTGATGCGTCGTGAGACGTTTGGATAGACACGCAGGACGCTTGCGCTGAAGCCCTTTCTTGGGTGCCACAAAAACTGACAACTAACGGATTGATGGTAGACGAATCTGCCGACGTTAAATACCTACCACAGACGCGCAAACTACCCCGTCTACAAGTCGATGGTCGCATCCGAAGATGGAATCTACAGATGCATCTGTCGACGTGTAGAGGAGGCATTAGACATAATGAAGAACATCTTTTAGGTATTACAAGCTTTATTATTTTTGCATTTCCCTCTAAATTATATTTATGATGAGATTCTTATTTGAACGCATATAATAAGATATAATGATTTGTCAATGCAAATTTTGCGTACGAAAATTTTCCGTTCAGAAGTACCTATTTGATGTAATAAATATGGTGTTTTCCGAAACATGAAACTTTTATGATTCACTCACGATGATTTACTCACTATGTAATAAAAGATCTTGCTTTGCTCTAAACATAACTGTGTGATTTTCTTGGTTCGGTGTAAATATTTGCCGTCGGAATGTCATTTTGATAAGACGTTCAGTAGTGACAATTTTACATACTTAATTCTTTAATCTGAATTTCGGTGGGCTAGGCAGGGACAACAGAGCACCACTAGGAAACATCCTTACCCACCAGTTTTTTTTACCAATCATACAATTAAACATGATAGAAAATGTATTTTTATTTTTTTTATAATACACCAATCGCGATATTTAATTTCGATATATTTTATTCGATAGATACCAATAGATTATAACGTTTCGTCCAATCAGTCCAAATTCAAACTGCATTTTCAATTAGTTAAGTTACCTATTGACATTACGCATACGCATAGTAATTATGCGGTCAACAACTCCGATAGAACTTCATCTATATGTAATGGTATTTTTTCTCTTTCAATTTCAGGATGCATGTCGGCACTCTGCATATTCGTGTTGTACACGAAACACCTTATCATAGTATACCTGTACCTGATGTCAGTGGGTATAGTGTTCGTCTCCTACTGGACTAATGTTTCGGCCGTCAAACAGATCCAATTGACTCAATTGGCGACCGACCAGCCCGGCGGCAGCGTCCTGGAAGACATCCTAAACCTCAACATGAATAGCCTCCTCGACCTCGACGGCCCCGGCGTACTAGTCATGCAGAACTTCGCCATACAATTCGTCCTAGCTATTCTATTCAGAAACGTGCATTTCGGCCCACGACACTCTACCGTGCAGAAGATGCTACCTATCAGCTTCATGGCACCGTCCTTCTTAGCCATGCTGCCCATACACACGAATCTACTAAATCACTCGCCAGTATTCTCCACACTATTACCGCTATGCCTCATATTATACGTCCTTTCATCGTCGGCCTACAACGTGATCCAAGTTATTTACGCTGGCTACCAGCACGGACGACTCTTCGTCAGCAATTATGGATTATCAGCCTTAGTTGAAACTGAGTGGATGAGACTCAACATACCGTGCGTGCTGAGAGTCTTCTGGGTGATGAGAGTCGCGGAACACGCGATATTACTTCTTATGGACAATTACGACGATGATACTGAAGAAGTTCTGAAAGTATCCACTTTACTAGCCGTCCAGTCTTTAGCTTCTATGGCAAAATCGCTGCTTGTGACAGGATGCGAAACGATTACAGCCGTGCTGGGCATGACTTCAGTTATCTCGTTCTTCTGTCATTACATTGGCAACTTCTTCCAATGGATTTTACTGACAGACGAGGACGAGGACAAGAGTATAGGCGCCGTGTCCGCCATTTTATTTTATATACTCGCATTGCAAACCGGCCTAACTTCACTCAATCCAGAAAAGAGATTCGTCCGATTGTGTAGAAACTTTTGTCTGCTGTTCACCGCACTTTTGCACTTTTTACACAACATTGTGAATCCTATGCTGATGTCGCTCAGCGCTTCGCACAACCCCAGCACTCATCGACACGTGAGGGCGCTCGGCGTTTGTGCTTTCCTCATAATCTTTCCAATGTCACTTCTCGTGTACCTATGGTCGCAATACTCGATCTCAACTTGGCTGCTAGCGGTCAGCGCGTTCAGTATAGAAGTCATAGTGAAGGTGATCGTGAGCCTAATGATCTACTCACTGTTCCTAATCGACGCCTACAGAAGCACATTTTGGGAGCAACTAGACGATTACGTGTATTACATAAGAGCTTTCGGGAACACTATAGAGTTTTGTTTTGGAATTTTCTTATTCTTCAACGGGGCATGGATTCTGTTGTTCGAGTCCGGTGGTGCTATCCGGGCAGTCATGATGTGTATACACGCTTACTTCAACATTTGGTGTGAAGCGAGAGCCGGCTGGTCCGTGTTCATGAAACGGCGAACTGCTGTCAATAAGATCAACTCTCTGAGAGAAGCGTCGGCCGATCAGCTGGACCAGCTGGACGATGTGTGCGCCATATGCTACCAGGAGATGCATTCGGCGAAGATCACGCGGTGTAATCACTTCTTCCACGGCGTGTGCCTACGGAAATGGCTTTACGTCCAGGACAGATGTCCGCTGTGTCACGATATACTCTATAAGATAGACAGCGACGGTGTCAACAAGGACAATAACTCAGAAGCTGGGAATGAGGAGAACAGCAACAATCAGAACCTTCTACTAGAAGAGGAGCCGGGTCTCCTGCTCGGCGAAGGGGTCAGGTGACTGCTCGACGAAGACATATACCACTTAGATTGAAACAATGGCAAGTTCAGTGACCCGACTAGTTTGAGTGGTATCAACCAATCTGTATAGTTCATGTGTTTTTTTTTTAATTTTATATATGATATATATAAACCAGATATAGCTGTGATGAAGTGGACGGTTCAATTTGTGCGTGATGTAGTTGCGCTCTTGTGAGTACCGTGTCGTGCTTGTGTGGTGAACGGACCCTTGTTCGTTAAGACATTAAAATAAATGTTAAAAGTATTTGAATTTATTGAAAATGAAAATGAGTTCATCTCTATTTAAGCAAGAAATTGTCAATATAAAAGAAAAAAATTAATCGAAGTTTAAAAAAACTGTTATAGATGATGATAAAGACAAAGCTATTTGTAAATAGTTAAGGTGTTTAGAAATAGCTTTTTAATATTTTTAAATGTAACATGACGACAACAAAGTTATAAAAATAGTAATTTTTTTCTCATAATGACTGTAAATAAACTATTATTTTAGTAGAAATGGCACTTCTTTTTTCTTTTATTATTTAACTACTTTATTAATTAATAAAATGAAATAACATATCGAGAAATGATACACGAAGACTATACTTAAACTATTTTATTAACATAACAAAATCATACAAATAAATATTTATTACAATAGCTCTCGTAAAAATATACAGGTTCTGTCTTAAATTTTATTAGTTTAAAGAATCATATTAGCGCCACGATAAAAGTCACGTTTCCCATTTTCAATAATAAAAACAAGCGAAATAGGAAACAGAAACAAAGAAACAAAATTGAAATTTTGAAATCGTATCCTGAAGTAAAAGTTTACATATGTTTTCGTTGTCTGTCACTATGAGGGTTGCCAACTCTACTATATAATATAGTGTCCTACTATATTACGGAATCAAACACTAGGTATATTTCAAAAGAAAATATATAGTAAGCGAAACTATGTTCTATATTTTGCTTTTAAGCAAACTTTTGCCAGTAAAAGCTTTCTTAAAATTAAAACTGAATTATTGAGCTATAGAGCAGCAAAAATATTCTCATTTCAAAAAGTAAGTGAATATTTTAACCACGTACTTTTTTTTTTTTGTCATATACATACTATATATTTACAGGTAACAGCTTCGAAAATACTATATTTGATAGAAAAAAGTTGTTAACCCCAGTCACTATTTTGGTGTGGTAGATACGTACTTTCATCTAATATTTAAGAATAAGTGTAGGAAGCTCCTAATATAGGCCATTACAAATATGACTATATGATGGCCATTGCACAATATGATGACAATATTTATATTAACATCAAATCATTCTTAATTAAAAAATATACACCGTGAATTTTGAGTTACCTGAGAAACTTGACCATCAACTTTAGAAAAAGATTTTGTTTATATTTCCACAAAGAAAAAAGATTTAGGTTATATTTCCACAAAACATTTTTTTTTCTTAAACGTCCACGTTAAATCCCTAATTTGTGCAATTATGATACTTCAACAATTTTAACTATCATAAATTGATTTAACAAATCTACTCTTATGATCTACGTACTTTAAACAAATTATAATTACATAATAGGTATGTTATATAGAAATTCGCGCCGTTTTTGGATATTTTGTAAACGATATAAATCGATATTTTTGTATCGAGGTGTAGTACTTTTACTCTTTATTACTACTACTAACACGATTTTAAAGTTTCTCATGTCACTCAAAATTCACGGTGTATTAATAATATAATTTTTATTATTAGACTAGTTTTTTTTCGTAATTGCACAATCATCTCTAAAATATTTTAAATATTTAATAATATAATACAATTTAAAATATTTTTATTTTTCTATGTTAATGTAAACAAAAAATAGAATACAAAATATTGGAAAAGAGAAGGAAAATATGAATAATTATAAAGATTTTTACTAGTTATTGTGAAGTGTGTGTGGTTTTGTATTCAAAATCGAACAATCTAATTCCTTAATAGCTAGATTCCTATAATAAAGATAAGACAGCATCTCATGAAAAAAAATTGGCATGAGTATTTTACATGTAAAATAATTACAGTTTCAGTGTGATGTATCATAAAATATATTTTTATTAAAATAATAATATTCACATAACATAGAAAAAGTCTCGAGTTTCTTGAGAATTTTGCTTCCTTTTCCCATAGAGGGCGCTGCACATATTTTTACTATATGCTTATACTTTGTAGTATACAGTGCCTTAAGTTGTAGTTTTACACAATCGTATCTAATAATATTAAAAACAGCATTGGCACTACAATATGGCAGTAAAGAAATTAATTACTTATATATCTTTAAAAAAAACCTGAATTTCTGTTAAGAAATCCGGTATAGCGCTGACCTTGTACTAGAAAACAGGCCAAGTAAGATCATTTGATTTTTGATAGGACCACAGAAGAAATAATTGTACAAGCAATCGTCAAGACGTTGCAAGGGGCGGATTTATCTAAAATTGCTCCGTTAATATTAAAAAGTACTTGGTAAGTATAAATTATATTTGGGAGCGAAATGTCTTTAGAGTCTGTGCGGAAAGAGAATGGGCGTGGCGAGAAACGGAACTAACATTAAGATTTTTATTTGGCAATCAAACCCAGCAATCTGTAAAACGTCAAAGTTTTGTATTGATACGGATTTGTTTGTTGTTGTGATTTCTTGCGGTTTTTTGTATTTAATCATGTCTAAAAGGGGTAAAACCTAACAAATACGGTAGAAAGCACTACAGCGCCCTCCAATCTAAATCCCATTCTTTTTCCGCATAGACTAGAATGGTTGTAGTTTTACACTTGTACCATTATGTGCTCTGTGGTTTTACTCCGTTGCAGTGTTTGACAGACAAAAGTTTGTCATTATGCTACTTAGGCGTAGGGTTTCCAACCCTACTATATAATATAGTATCCTAATATAATAGAGGATGAAATACTAAATTTGGAAAAAAAAATAGTGGGCAGAAGTACTTTTGCTTAAAGCAGAATTTTGCCAGTGAAAGCTTTCCTAAATAATAAAAACTGAATTATTACGGTATAGTGCAGCAAGAATATACTAATTATAAAAAATAAGTAAATATTTTAACCACATACTATATTTTTTTCATTTATTTTGCAACAGCTTCGAAAATACTATGTCTATTTGATAGAAAAAAGTTGGTGACCCTAATTGGGCGACAATTGATGCTCAATTTCTATGAAAGTATACAGTTTAAACCCACATTTTGTAAACACAATACATTCGTTAGTTGAATATGAGCTCCTTGTAGTTAGAGAGCAGGTAGTAGTTGGAGACGCGGCAGTTGGTGGAGGTGCGAACGACCGTGGTGCGGTCCGCGCGCTCGAAGTTCGCCTTCACTATCTCGTAGTAACGGCCGTCGCTGCAGGGACCAAATGAACGGGTAAGATTGTTTGGGAGTTTCTCATTGATCATCGTAAAGCTGCGTATACGCTAGACGAGCCGAGCACGAGCGGAGCGCAAGCCGAGCCGCTCGCTCGCAGTGTCAAGTGTTGACGTGCAACTAGCCTACATCAATCACTCTCCTCGAGCGCACTGCGAGTGCTACGAAAATCCCTTTGTGTTCGTCAAAAAACCGACAACCGCCGAGCACGGTTGAGCACGAGCCGAATGCTCGAAGCGCGCTCGTTCGAGGCTCGTAAGCCGGTCCACACTACACGAATTTCGGCTCCCCTAGTGCTCGGCTCGTCCAGCGTATACGCAGCTGATGTATGCAAATTAAACTATTCATCGGGTAGCAGCAGATGGATATTGAATAAAAATATCAAATGAACATTTTTGAAAATCGAAGAATTTCAGAAGTGACAAACGGCCAGTTTTAATAATCGAATTCCAGTAAGAATTAGGCCATAGACTTATTGTTAATATATAACCTACTACCTACTTATTATATTAAGTAGGCCTAGTCGAGCTTTGTTGCTAAGTTTTTTTTTTAACAATTGTTGCTATGACACGAAGCCAGATTATCCTTACCATTTTTTTTATATTGGAATAAGGATTATAAAACTAGCCAGGTACCAAATGAATCAAATTTCCTTGAGAAAAATATATATGAAGTTATCCAGAAGATGCAGTTGACAAAACAGCTGAGCAAAAAAAAAACATATAGGTACTACGTCTAGTTACACTGAATTAAAAGTTATTTATTGACGGATACTTAACCAACTGGCGACACACCTGAAAGCTGACAATAAAACATCTACATTAACACAAAATAGGTAGAGTTGAATCAACTGACCTGAGCACCAAACACTAGTTTGAGACACTTGACGATGGCCTTCTAACTCTTGTTGTCATGAAGCAGAGGTCTCCTTCCTAGCGCCGCTCCAAATTAGTAAGAACCTGTAGTTTTATTCCACCACCACATCTTACCAAATAGTTTAGTTTGAGACACTACGCGCAGTTTCATTGATTTGTCGCACTATCCGTAAATGGACTGCTTTGCCTGCTCACGCGTTCCCTCCCTCTTACAACCGGGATCCTTTAAAAGAGGCGCAAAGAAGCAACATGCAGACTGGCAGGGTATGAATGGCTGGTGTGGCAGGTAGAACTGCTTTACCAACTATCCTCGCGTCTGGAATTCACCGTCACTTAACAACAGGTGGTGTGGAGACATTTGCCGGACCTATCTATAAAAAATAAAGTTTCTCCTTCCCTCCTGATCCAAAAGAGTAAGAATAGGTAGTTTTATTCCACCGCCACATCTAACACTTTCTGGCTCTTGTCGCCGAAGCGTAGGTTCTTCTTGTCTCAGTTTCAGCCATCTAAAGTAGTGAAAACCTATTGTTTTACTATACCACCAGAACACAACGTTTTACACTAGTGTATCCACTGACCTGAGCACCAAGCACTTTAGTTTGAGACACTTGACGCGCAAGATGTCTATGGCCTTCTGGCTCTTGTCGCTGAAGCGCAGGTTCTCCGGGTCCCAGCGTAACTCCAATCGCTCCAGGTTGGGGCAGCTGTTCGCTATGCCGTCCATCAACTGAATGAATGGTGGTTTTATTAATACTTATTTATCTTATGGCAAGAAACAACAAAGGGGTTATTTAAGAGAACTTAATAAGTCAAAGGTCAATTTGATAAAAGTATAATTTCGTTTCTTCCATTCGAGATATTGCTGCTACAAAATGAAAAGGCGCTTTATATTATATTTAGAGGCTCATAAATTATTCAGTTCAAGATTCAGAGTTTCTGAGTTTACCGACACGGAACAATATTATGTAAATATGTTTCACCATCACTATATATGTTTGTTTCAAAAATTCAATCACTTATATATAATTAAAATTATAGTCTTAAAAAATAACTTTAACATAAAAAGTTAACCACCGTAAAGTAAAAAATAATAAACAATTTTATATTTAGTCAAATTTATATTTGGAGTCGGTGCCATGCCAACCCAAGTAATAAATGGGAACTCCGATCTATCAGACATGCATAGCACAGACTCCCAAACATTAATTTAGTGACTATAATTTTTGTTATATACCTACGCCTCGACATTCACCCCTATTTTCCCACCCTTAGGGAAGGATTTTTGTTTCCAAATTCATATGGGACCACTTCCCTTTCCAATAAAAAAAGAATTATCAAAATCGGATTACTTTGTAAAAAGTTAAGCGTGGTCACACATAAGAAAAATATATATACGCGTCGAATTGAGAACCTCTGTATATTTCGTCGGTTCAAAATAATACCAATGCGTACCTGATCAACGTGAATGTTTACTCCGAGTCTCTCTTGCGTTCCCATGATAAGAATTCTGGAAATGAAAATTACCCACTTCAGAAATTATCTATTACTATTGGCCCGCCCTCGCTTCACTTCGGGGTAGAATTGATCAAAATCCTTTCTTAGCGGATGCCTACGTCATAACATCTACCTGCATGCCAAATTTCAGCCCGATCCGTCCAGTGGTTTGGGCTGTGCGTTGATGGATCACTATGTCAGTCAGTCACCTTTAAGTTTTATATACACAGTCAGGTCATAAGTATTGTCACACAGTAAAAACTTTTCTTTTAAAATGCTGGCCACAAAAAAGTTTATTGAATTCGAATTTCGAATTGTTCATGAAAAAAAATGTATACATTTTTATATTACAAGATATGGCAACACTTGGAGGAAAAGGCGTGCTCAGGCTAAAGGACAAAGTATCCACGGCCAGAATAAATTTAAAAAAAAAAAAAAAAAAAAGGCGTGCTCAAAGCCTCATCCCAATTTGGAGTCACTCAAGACATCCTTGATTAAGGCAGCCGCCGATATTGACATGGACCTCGTTCGTGCTGCGATACGACTGGCCGCGCAGATTGAAGGCCTGTATTCAAAATCACGGAGGTCATTTTGAATAAACTTTATTGTCATAAGAATCTATGTTTTATTAAGTTCATTTTTTTATATAAGTAAATGGTTACATAATGAATAAACTTGTTTCAATTATTTTATATTCAACATGTGATAAAATTTATGACCTGACTAGGTATATGGAAGTTAGGTGCTGGTATCGATTCTGGTAGGATTCTCTAAACTTAAAACTAAATTTAAGATCCGTCTGTCCTTTTCATTCTGTATAGAGAATGACAGGGATACACTGTTGTCAAATTTAAGTTTAGATTGAGAGAATCATGCCAGAATCGATACCACTATTTCTATTGAACTTCATATTGTGATGTGTGTGATAGCTGAAAATAGTTCTTATCAATGATGAAGCGATCACTCTGGCTAGGAGCCAGGTGGAAAATTAAAAAACATATTTTTCTATTTAAATATTTACAATTTGTCTCATAACTAGGTACTATTATTATTCATGTTTCCAACGTGTTTAATAATATTCTGCCCGTACTCGAATCTGCTATTCGATTAAACCCAGGGGCGCGCGAAGATTTCGGAAAGAGAAAGATATTTTGGCAAGGGCGACATCCATTCTTAGGTACTTATGTCTGTCCAGAAATCCGTGATTGGGTCGGTGGTGCGCGAGCGAGACGGATAGAGGGTGCGGTCGCTCACTTGGTGTTGTGCAGTAGAGGCATGAGAGTCTGCCACAGTTGGTCGGTGATGTGCGGCATTCCTGAGAGCGCGAGTCCCGCCAGAGAGACGCCGAGTCGGGACACGAACCGATGAAGAGCCTCGTCTGATAGATTGTCCGAAGCATCAACGTCTAGAGCCATCAGGGTCCTGGCGAGGAAAGCGACGATAGGGTATTTGACAGTATTAAAAAATAAAATGCCAATTGTTAGCATTTGTATTCAGAAGGAATATTAGTAGGGTTTTTTTACTATTTTTACAGAAAAAAATATTCATACTTTTACTAAAAACCCACGAAAATGATAACAGTTTTCTTATCTATTGTCACGCGACGCAAAACGCTTGGGGTTGACGGAGTGTAAAATGATGTCGCATGCTAATAAACTTTCGGTTGAAGTGGCATTACATTGTATCGTTTCACGTTTTAATGACATCCGTGTGACGTACCAGTAAGACGCCATATTGTCTAGAGAAAAGTTTTCGCGGCAACTTGAAAATGGCGCTTTTGATTTAGTTTATATACTGAAATACACAAGATGATGAATATCCACTTTTTCTGACTCCATAAACGTCAGATCGTTTTCTTAAACTTGTCAAATACCCTATTAACACGAGAAAAAGTTTTATTTGTGTTAAAATTCCGAAAAAAAAAATTAACTAGCTATAGTAAAGGCATTGAGTACCTCAGATTATAAAAATTAAGGCAGATGGAACGCACGGAAAACGTTTTGCGTGCCACCTTAGCAAATACAAAATCAAAAGCGAATACCAACTCGCCAGTACGCTAGTAGAAATAAGGTAGAACAAGTGTTCCGTGCGTACCGGCCTGCCTTTAGTTGTAATCTAAGTTTTTGGTCTTATGCCGGTAACAGTAAGTAAATACATACATTCGCACGAATCCACAAAGTAAAGACTGGAAAACAACGATTTTGGAAACTTATTAATATCTATGGCAAAATTCAAATTTTAAAGAACCATGCCCTTCGATGTTACGAGTACCTTCTTTTTAAAGAACTTAAAGAGGCACTTAGTGTCTAACGAAGCATGTGATATATATTTTCTTTCTAATTAAAAACAAAACTTCTTGGTAGGAGTTCTTTCTTGCCTAGTAGTTCCAGATTCCAACCAAGCCTTCAGAACTGAGTCGTTGAAGCCGTTGATCTGGCCGGCGCTCAGGAACCTCAGGTTGGGGATCCTGGTCAGCATGTCTATCAGGCACTCCGTGGACAGATCAGTCGCCGTCACGTCCAACTCCTGTATGGAAGACTTCTCCCATTCCACTTGCATCACGTGATCTGAGTGGAGACCTGGTGGGAACAGGTATTGTTTGTGTTTTTCACATTAACACTAAAGGAATGGATACAATAGATATACAATAAATTGGTGACAAAACTAATATGCGAAAACTGCAAACAGGCTTCTCATACACATATACAAAGATAGCATATCCAGAATAGTCGATCATTCAATATAAGTGTGAGAACCTAAAATAATAGCATTCATTGTTGACCTATATCTTGATTTGATTTAGTACTAACACAAAGGGTTGTAAATCGTTAGTGGCCTTAGGCGCCAGATTGTACGCCCCTGGACTGGCAGGATTACTTAATGTAATATGGTAAAGCCATTTTGTGAAAAACACAGAAATCATTTAATTTTCTGCAAAAGTTCAACAATACAAAGTTAATCATCATAAATCTCACTGCATCCATTCATAAGCAGACAGGTGAGCCGCCGCGATCGCTGGAACAACGTCTTCATGGTGGAGCCTGTCACTTTGTTGCAGTAGTTCACAGCGAGGCATTCCAACTGCGAGCAACGAGATAGCACAATGTATTATTATGCAAGGGCGGATCCATCTTTGGCGCCAGGGAGGGTCATATAGTCGTACTTAATTAAATATTGAAAGTACTTAAATAAAATCCCCCTGGGCTGTCTACAGATGGGGGGGTCATCGGGAACGGCGGCCCCCTCTTGCAGTTCTGTCTGCAAAGGGGGGGCGGCGGAAGGAGCTACAAGGGTATGTCCAAGTAGCCGTCCGCAGCGGACGGGGTGCGGTACGGTGGGCACTAGGCCGCGTATTCAGCCGTGGGGGCCCCGCAATTATTCGGGTGACCCCTGCTTTGGAACCCCGGCTAGGCCGGGAAGCTGCTGGGTGCGGAGTCGTGGAAGAATCCCTAAATGGGGATCTCGCGGCTTCGCATTAGGCAGCGTAGAAGGTATTCGCAGAGTTTTTTAGCGGATATTATGCCGTAAAGCGCCCGTGAGAGTTGCGGGGTCCTCGGTGGGCAGCCACTGGGGGGTTCGTAAGACTTCGGGAGCCAGGTGTGAGGTCCGTTCGGCGGAGTGCCTCTTAAAGGTGTCGTTGTCTGCAAACAGTATTTTTTGCCTGCGTAACAAAAAAAAGGGGGGTCATGACCCCCCCATCTGGATCCGCCCTTGTTATTATGGTATTTTATTCTCGATGGCGCCATAGTGAAAGTTAAGCAACTTTTGCGATAGATGGATGACAAAAAATATATCTCGTGCTCCTCCGTGCTTCTAAAGGCGCGTTAGGCCGCTGCATCCTACGTACTGGGCCTGCTTTATAATGAGCCATGGCTCATTCTCTCTATTCCTCAGGTTTAAACGTGCCATAGCAGGGGGGACATTAACAGGCTGATGATGATGATTTGCATTGGGGGATGAGAAATGAGAACATAATGGAAACCTCAGTCTTCAGAATGTGTGCTGTACCCCTAGCACGAACCATTATCGAATTCGAATAGCAAACCGAAATGTCAATGTCAAATTTTGTATGGAAACTTGCACAGCAGCGGCACAAAGTACGTAAACAGAACTAAAAATCAATACACATTGGACAATGACATTTCGGACTCGATTTCGATTCGAATTCGATATTGATTCTTGCTAAGGGTACTGTTCTGAGGTAAGAGAGTAAGATGGTTTTTGCGGGTTTTGAGTTGATGGGATAACAGAGGAGGAGTCTAGCCCCATCTGATTCTCTCATTGGTCGAGATTGCATCAAGCATTTTTCCCAAACATAAAAAAATATGCCAATCAAGGAGTAAATTAGAAAGTCAGTAAGTATAACTATGATAGGCCGAACGATAGACCAATGAGGATGATCATACCTGGATACAATTAGAGCTAAACGCGTCGATGTGCGAGTCGTCGACGAAGTTGATGCCATACAAGTTTATGACGCGCAGGTTGGGCGTGGCCGACTTCAGCTTGTGGACGTTGATCACCTCGTATATCTCCTCCTCTTCTTCCTCTATCTTCTCGTACGTGCCTGCGTGAATAGATAATTTTAATAAAAGTCCACATCCCAAAGAGTAATTCAATAACGAAGAGATAAAGTTGCTTCTATTAACCGCGACTTTAAATGTGCACCATCAAATTAAAACTCCTGTCCACCCAACATGAGCATTGCTTCTCTCCTCGTCAAGATAACAAAACAGCATCATAGCAATTAAAAGACACAATCTAAAGAAAAAACAAAAACAAAGCAGAAATACCTGGAACACCGTAATTTGATAAACATCACTGTTATTATCACACGAGTTGACGTTGGAAAGTTGTTTTTGGTTTTGGTTTTATACTGAAAGGTTAAAAATCTTGCAATTCCCCATATGCCCAAAAGTTATTTGCTGTCATTAATCACTCACCAATGAGATGCAGGATCTCTAGGCCGTTGATGAAGTTGTATATCTTGCGCATGAAGCCCTCCATGAAGATGACCTCGGATAGGCAGATGCACAGGTACCGCAGCTTCGTGGGGAACGCCTGCATCTCCGAGAAGTCGTGCAGCTGCATAGCTACAACAAAATGTCAGGTCAATATTATACTCGTTCGAAAATTGTTGCTTTAAATTATTTATAATAATTATTATCTATGTAAATAAAAAATCTGTTTTTCGGGGTGTCCTGCGATGATCCGGATAATTTCTATGAGTCCTGGGTTTATACCCCTGATTGTTACTCTGTGTTACTGCGTTCTGTTTATAAAACGAATACTTAGTCCTAGTTTTTTTCAACTTCAATCCTAGTTTTTTTCCAGAGGCGTCTTTACCACGGTAATATTATATATAATATCACCGTGTCTTTACCTAAGGTGCAGGGTGTGAGTTGCACACGGGCGCAAAGTCCTAGGGGGCGCCGAGCGCCGACGCCGCTCGCTACGAAGCCCCACTTGCCGCACACGACGGCCGTGTGACTTTCTTCCTTTCTTCTTCAAATTTAATTTCCAAACAATAGAAGTTTTTATTCAGTTTTGAAATTTGACAGTTTGATTGATGTGTTTTTACTTGTTCTTTTTACCCATTCCATTGTGATCACACGCTTACTAGGGGGCGCTAGGATAATTTTGCACACGGGCGCCACATGGGCTAGAGACGCCTCTGTTTATTTCAATAGCGGTTGGCGACACTAACTTTGACTGAGCTGATTTCGATCTTTATTAAGAAAAATAAAGCGGAGTAGAGGTTGATGGAGTGTATCGCATTTCTCACCAGTACTGAAGTCCAGCAGCATGTGCGTCAGGTTGGGGCACTTGGCCGCTAACTCGTGCAGCACGTTGTGCGTGATCAGCTCAATGGGCAGCTCTATGTACCTCAGCGAGGGCCCGAACCGTATCGATATCAACGCCAGCAGAGACTCCAGAGAACCTAGTGCCAAAGAAAATATGGTAACGGTCTATAATTCAACGTTTTCTCAAATACCTTAATATATACTAACTGCACAGCAATAAAATACTATTGTCATCAACTAAACTTTACGCACATGTAGTAACGAAAAACTGTGAAAATTACAATTAAATCAATAGGGATGATGACTAACTTTTTTTTCTTCGTCTATCAGGCAGGTATATTATGAAAGGGTATGGGACACGTACCTATTTTTTCTTTTTTTCACCTTGCTTTAAGTTTTAATTCTAAGAAACGAAACATAACAAAGATATATTGATTTGAAATGTCGCATGACGTCACGCCTTGGTTCAATTTTTACTTAGAAGTGACGTCAATAACCCCCTCTCCCAAAGTATGACGCGTTTTTCTTTGTCATTTTTTTGATGATTAACATAAGAAAAATATGTGACCATTCTTTTTTTAAATGTAATGGCTCGGTTTCACTTGATCGTTAGCCCGTATTCGGGTGCTCGAACGATATTACTTGAATTCAGGCACCCGAAGAAATATTTACACTGAAAGACGGTATCGGCACGGTAATATTATCTATGATATTATTACCGTGGTATCGGGTAACTAAAACGTAATTACCCGAATACGGGCGTACTCGATTCCATTCATTTGCAGTTAGTCATTTATCCGAATTCCATTGGCACTTGTATTCGGGATAATGACCAAATGTAATTGAGCCATAACTGGCGGACTAAATTGAATTTCGTTCACTTCAATTACCCCGTTATCACCCATATTGCGAGTTGGATTAGAAGACGACAAATTCCATCGTCCGTACCAACTTCTAAACAAATAATATTGATTGCAACACCTTGACTTACAGCCATTGCTAATGTCAACATTTCAGGTATTTTTATTTTATTTTGTTAACATATATTTTTAGTGAACATTTTTGGTATTCAAGGTTTTTAATATATTTTTTTGACCAAGTACCTATTTGTTTCGGTTTATGGGATAACGAAACTGCGAAAATCTGAGAATAAGAATAATCATTTAGTAACTGAAACCTAAAGAACATAACAGAAAATGTCTTAGGTACGGCAAGGGCAAAACTCCTGCCTTCTGTTTCAAAGATCCTCCCGGTGGATCCACTTTGAAAGACCTATCTGCAAATGAAAAATAGCAGGTGGTGCAATCTAATATAATTATGTTCCTGGTCCATCTTAAAACATAACCACGTATTTATTATTATATTATAATTACCTACTTATATAATAAATATTATTCATGATTATTCATGAATATTTAAATCTGGGAACAGACTACAAAATATAATTTGTAGTACAAAATAAAACAAAGGAAATGTCGGTCACTCCAAGAAAAGTTTTTTTCTTATTATGTAATTTTCTCAATGAACAACCAAATAATTAAAAAGAGCACATCTCTTTCCGTTTTTAATATGAATGCATTGCAAAGTTATTGTATTAAAGTAGATTTTAACTCGAATCTTTATTTTAAAGAGTCAATCAAAAATATAACTTTTTAAACGAAAGCTATTGGAAAGGCGCGAACCGGAAACGGAAATAATGAAGACCGAATGATTACATTTATTAATTTACTACGTTCCTTGGTACTCCACTCAGGTATCCAAAAAATGATACCAGCCTACAGATTTCCACTAGATATAGTTTAAAAAGAATCATTGAATTACCGACGTGCAGTCCAGATATTTCCGGTCGTAAACTGACGTGAGTCCACAGGCGGGTGTCGTATGCAACCATTCTCCATCGTTTGCACACCGTTGCCATTCGACATATTTCTCGATGAGTCAAATATGAAAATATATTTAGTAGTACTTTATCCGGTAATTTTTCTATAGTCTGAAAGAAAAAAGAAAAAACTATGTTTAAGTATAGTATATTAATGTAGGTGAATAGTAACTACTCGTATATGTGCGTTTTTTGTTTTACTTTAAAGTTTACTTATCTGTTTCATTTCTAAAATCTAAGAGATTTATATACAAATGACATAAATAGCTATGTTAAATTAACTATCGTCCTGAGGATTGTTATTGTGAAACAATCCTCCTCAGTTTGTTAAATTTTATCTTTTGATTCCTACCAGTTACTCAATAAAGAGTACCTACATATATCTAAATCTTGGCTTAGACAAATTTGGCAGTTTTATATGCATAGTGTTAGTGTTACTCATGATGATTAATGATTTGTATAGATGCAATGGTTTGTCACATTACCGTGTTAGCGAATGGACTTCTCATTTGACCTCCTTCGGTCAGATAGACTTGACTAGCTTCCAAAGCAAGTTGACCCCACACATCAGTTGGTATATCCATTGTTGTGTATTATAATTTGTCACAAGTAACACAGAAAAATAAGAGCGCAATGTGTTTTTGTTTAAAAAAATACACTATTGAAAAGAGTTTACTTTAAGCGCGTGGAAAGTGTACAGCGTACGGATGATTTGGAACGCTGTGGTTAATTTTGGAAGCGTCTGGGAACGTGCGAGTAAGCCAGCGGTGGTATAATTAAATTTTCGTGAAACAATCATTTATTTACTATAATCTAAATAAGATATAAAATACTGATAAATAATTAATGAATTCATAATTTATGTTACTACAACATATACTGCGTTACATAAGTATTAAAACATACTAATTTTTATGTTTTATTTTAAACCTACATATACATTCCAGTATTCTGTATAATTTGGCGGGAAGTTCAAAACCAATTTAACGCTAAGAAGAAGATTGAAATCAAAATTACCATTTATATTTAACTTTCAGTTTATATAGCTATTTTCTATTCGTGATAATAATTTCGGGTCCATGCATTATAAGTTATTTTTTTTTTAGCATTTTAGTGCAATCCAGTTGTTCATATGATAGTTTCAAACAAAAAACATTAATAATTTACTCGAATGCGTACAGTTTGATATTAAGTATTGATGTTTAAAATACATTTACATAGATTTGTCGTGTGAATGAAATAGCAGCATTATATACATAGCCTCATGTCATACACCCCCAGCGGGATTGGTAGAGTATTGTTGGTGCAGTACAATTACATTGCTAAAACCACTTTAATATAAATACCACTCTATGCTCTCATAGTGAATAAATCAGTGATGCTTCTTTGACATTGTTTGGGTTTATATTAAGATTTTGTTTGCAAAATACAAATAGCTACTTACTGACATATCACCTACAACAGTTTCCGAAATTATGCTTTGAATAACTAAATGATGATATTTTTGAGTTTCAATTAAAATTTGTAGGCAAAATAATATCATATAATGAACATTTATCCAAAAGGAGCTGCATATTTGACATAAAAAATGCGTCTCCTAAATACTGTCTGCGCAACAGACATAACTTGGCACACGATGAGGTATTTCCTGAATATATGAGTCATTCGCAAAATCAGGGATGCTTTCCTTACACCAAGTTATTATTGCTTTATGGCTATTTGCTTCACATTTTTGTTTCGGTAAATTTCAGTGCGTACCATCAATATTATTAATTAAAAGATAGCTTTTGATGCATTTATTTACTTATTACTGATAATAAAAAAACGAGCGAGCATTACAGTAGTCGCGTATGATGTGTAACATTTGAAAACTCACCTTATATTAGTAAAAAAAAGAAATAAACCCTACAAGAAAAGGAATAAGCCATTTGAACATTATGTTCTAAAATCAAATCAAATAGCGCGCGCTCTCGCGACTTCCTGTTACACATTTCCGTCCCATTTCACGAAATCTCTCCCACAAATTGCAGGAAAGTGAGAGGAAAGATTTTACACATCAAAAAAATTGTTTAGTTAACAAATTTTAACAAAAATAAAATACGTTTCAATCACCTTAAATAATATGCACCTGTACCTACGTAGCTCCATGGGACAGTTATTTACTGTATTTAAAATCAATGTTTTTAGGGTTCCGTACCTCAATTGGCAAAAACGGAAGCAGTCTATTTGCTCGGAATATACTGGACCGATCAAGTTGAAATTAGGTACTTACATACATTCATATCTATGTCGCAAAGACGGACATAAAGAGAAGTAAATCAATAAATTAAGAATATTGAGCTTTTTTTGGGGGATAAATTTTAAAATTTTAAATGAAAATTTAGCTAACTATAGCGTGTATCAAATGAAAGGGCTCAATTGGAAGGTTTTAAACATTTTGATTTCACAAATGTAAAATTAATAGATTAAAAATTATTTAAGAAAATTGAAGAATTTTGACCTCGTCCTGTACGTAACATATACGTCCGAAATTATACTGCGTCTAAAATTTTGAAAAAAATATGCATTGTAGCTCTTCTTAGATTACAAGATCAGTTTTAAAAAGATGTGTCCCATATAACAGATGTGCTTTTTGACGTTTTTTGCTCGATATTATAATATAGTGCCTAATGTTGTACATATGGTAATATATATGTTGTCTAATGGTACCAAACCTTTATGCGTGAGTTCGATTCGCACTTGGTCAGTTTTTTATGTTAAATGACAAAAAAGAGGGTCCCAGATCATGCACAATCGTCCACTTAAGGGACTAAGTGGGGAAACCTATACCTAACATAGAAGAACATACAGAGTCCCAGTTTTAGTTTATAATATATTCGTACTATATTGATAATCCCATTTTATTATCCTTAAGTGATGAGAATAATGAACTACAAAATTCTATGAAATGTTATTACAAACATCTCTAATCTAGTAGCTTGCTTAAATCAATTTAGGTATTAATAAAAATACCATGTCTGGTATGTATTGCTAGCTACTACTTCCACGAATTTACAATTAAATGTGAATATTTTTCCACGAAGAAAGATTGAACTCACAACCGTTATCGTCAAACTAATTATTTGTATAAACTAATTACAATAAATGCTGTAGATTTAGAATAATGTTATGCCAACACGTCGGCAATATATTATGATAGTTAGAGGTCAGGTCAGAGACTGTTTCTTTTTAATTGAATTCCTAGTCATGTTTTAAACTTCAGAAATTCAAACATACTCAATCTTAAAGAATTATAATTTTAAAAAATAAATATTGGCTATTGAATCATAGAAATAGTATACCTATAGCTATAAGATATGTATATTTATTAACTTATTTGATTTATCTATAAACCATTCAGCTTAATAAGAACACTATTCATCTGCATTATTACCATCACTTGCTTCCGTCGGAAACTAGATGACATGTCATCCCTTGATATTGCGGCTGCCGCGCTGTCCACATTCAGTATACCCCACGAATCCATATTGCTTATAAACACTTAAACAACCACAAACTGGAGCTTCCTATTCACTACCACTTCAACAATTCATTAACAAACTTTTGGCGCGAAATCACATTCAATTCACCAGATTTTCATTATCTTTGAATGTTCACAAGTGTGATCGAAAACGTTAGTTCTGCACCTATAGCAGTACGTATAATGCCGTCTGATATTTAAATTGGCAAGCCAAAATAAGTCCGGCATTTTGCTTCAACTGGGCTACGATGTAGTTGCCAAGAGGATTCGTGTTGCATTCGTGTCACAGTTAGTAGATAGACGTAATGTCCATCTAGTATGTGTCGTTATATCTGCGTCGAGTTAATTATAGGATATTGACATTACTCATCAAATCATGGCAGATCAGATATTCGCTCTTTGGTCACCAAGCCTGTCACTAAAGTTTGTTATGAAAACATATTTCAATAAATAAGTTTCTTTTTTTCTTAAACCTTGATCAGTGTAAGCGGGTTAAGATATAAAAAAGATTTCTGCGTAATAAACGCTCATAAATAACATAGTAATGTAGTATTCAACACATAACATATTGCGGCGCAAAATAGAGCATGTAAATATAGATGTAATTAAACACTCTAGGAGGTGACAGGGATCAGTACCACTTGTGCGTAGCCTACCCCTGATCCCACCCACTATCCCTTGAAGCTCTAGTTAGGTAGGTAGACCTTACAGCAAGAGTACAATACTACAGAATAATGCTTTTATGTTGCATCGGCTGTGCATCCGGACGTTCTAGTTAAAGTGAATTTGTGAATTACCTACCTATTGTGCTATGTTAGCTTAAATTTTTGCTTATGAGGGGAAGTGGACAATGTTTTCTCCCTGCAAACATTCTCGATCGATTCTTTCTTGATTTTGTTCACTAAAAAATTGTATTTTCATACATAAAATATAATTTGAGTCATTCTATGCTTTTGTCTTCCTTATTTCGATAACTAGTGTTTTAAAGAAACTATAACCATTCGGAAAGGACAATAATAATCATTTTTTTATCACAACTAATGACTTCTAATGTGTAAATTTAATTAGCATTTACAAAAAAAATAACAAAGAGGTTTAGTATTAATACTTATTTATTATTTGTGTAAAATTTCTTTTATATATATCGAAATTTCGCGGAGGAAATCGGCGAGTGCCAATGCCCGATTTTTGCAATTTTTATACGCTGATTCCACGGTATCGCACGGTATTTTCCAAAGTTTTTCATATACCTATTTCTCAGATATCTCTTAGTTCGCGTCCGCTCATAAAGATGAAAAATACATACACTCTTATTAGGGCATTTAAAGCAGCGTGGGCAGACCTACTACATGCATGCATGCTCTATAGATAGTATTAGCGGAAACCATACTGTAACCAATTTAACCACATTGATTGCGATATGATATGAGTATTTTTAAATGTTTTTGGCTGCACAAAATAACACACAATAACAGGTACCTACACACATCAAAAGTGTCTAGGGATCAAGCATTTTTATGCGGATTTCTTGAGTTTGAGATGTGGCTTTGTAATAAATTTATGATTTTATAAATTTATATGGATCCTTTTTGGTGCATTTCATAATTTGAATCAGGAACTGTGAATCAAATTCGAGTAAAAGATGAAAATCAGCTGTCAATATTTTCCCTATAAAAACATACAACGCATTGAAGACATTATTAGTGCTACTGTTTCCCTACTACTGATTAAAACCAACGTTATTATGGAGCGGCGACGTCATTTAAGCAGGGAAGAAATGCTCAGAGCCGTGGGAATGATAGAAGCTGGTTCCCGGCAACGTACTGTGGCTTTAGCTCTGAATACAAGTCAGAGTGTTATCAGTCGACTTTGGACACGATACCGAAGCACTGGTACCGTGGCTGAGCGCCATGGAGGACGGTATCGCTGCACCACACGGAGACAAGACCGATACATTCAAATCTTAACTCGAAGAGCTCCAACAATAACCGCCATGATGTTAGCCGTGAGGCTTCATCACTCTTCAGGGAACTTAATTAGCGACCAAACAGTCAGAAACCACTTGCATGAAGTGAACCTTCTTTCCCGAAGACCGCTACGGGTACCACCTATAGCAATGCACAATCGTAGGATTCGATATCAATGGGCTCTTGAACACAGAAATTGGGCAGAAGAACAATGGCGTTTCGTGTGCTTTTCTGATGAGTCTCGTTTTGGTATGAGACCGGATACAAGACGTATACGACACTGGAGAACCCCTGGACGCCAACAGCGATTAAAATCCTGCCAGGAAGTCCATCCTTATAGTGGTGGAACCATCATGGTATGGGCGGGTATTTGGATCGGCGGAAGAACTGAGTTGATTTGGATCAGAGGCAACCTCAACGCTCAAATTTATGCTGAGACGATTGTATCAGACGTCATCGTTCCTCTACAAGTGCAAATCGGTCCCTTATTTCAGTTAATGCATGATAATGCACGACCGCACACCGCAAGAGTTGTAAGACAGACTCTCGCCGCAGCTAACATCAATGTCCTGCCCTGGCCTGCTCAGTCGCCAGACTTGAACCCGATTGAGCATGCATGGGATATGCTACAGAGAAGAGCTCTGCCGAATATGGAGGGTATCCAGTCGCAAGAAGACCTTTTTTTGTTGTTGCAACGAACATGGGCGGCCATTCCACAGCGTGATTTGGATGAACTCATTTTGAGTATGCCAAACCGATGTTCTTGTGTTGTTAGTGTTCGCGGTAGAAATACGGATTATTAATTGTTTAAGTTACCCAATAAAATTTTAGAGAAAACTGTTATTTCAGTCTTTTTTTCGAACTTTTGTGTTAGTGGTTCAAATGTCAAAAATCCCTTTATTAGGAAAATGGCAAATTTCTTTATTAATGCAAAGGTGACTTGGTTTATCGTTACTGTGACAAACGAAAACACTTTATTTGATGAATCCTTAAAGAAAATTTTAATTAATATCAATCAGGAGAAAAGTTATTGCAAAAATATATGTTGATCCCTAGACACTTTTGATGTGTGTATTATTCCCTTTATTTCTGAAGTGAAGTTGCTATACCAGGGGGCTATTCGCCTAACGGAAATACGTTGGAAAACGCTAACGCTTTCGATTTTATTTTGTTATTTCTGACCGCGGAAGGTTTTCAAATATCTCACGCTATTTTTTTTAAATATTGTTATTACCAATACAAAAGAAAAAAAAAGAGCGCGAGGCATTTGAAAACCTCAGGCGGCTAGAAATAACAAAATGAAATCGTAAGCGTTAGTGTTTTCCAAAGCATTTCCGTTAGGCGAATGGCCCCCTGTGCTTAATCGAGTATAGGGATTGGATCAGGCTGAACAATGAGAGATTAATCTATTTTTCCTGTTATCGCAAACGTTTATAGACTGCAGTGGTCTTTTATTGATATAAGTATATTGATCATACTTATATTAATCTCTATAATAATATGTATTATTATTTACTATTAAGCACAATAGTGGTGTCAATTTCTGGTATGATTCTTTAAACGTAAAACTCAATTTAACATCGGGCTCTCCTTTTCATCCTGTTTAGAGAATGATAAAGATATACTGTTGTCGATTCTGGCCTGATTATCTAAACCTAAACTTAAAGACAACAGTGGTGTCGATTGTGGAGTGATTCTCTAAACTTAAAACTAAATTTAACATCAGTCTCTCCTTTTCATTCTGTATAGAGAATGACAAAGATATACTGCTGTCAAATTTAAGTTTAGGTTTAGAGAATCATGCTAGAATCGGCACCAGTATATCTTTATCATTCTCTATACAGAATGAAAAGGAGAGCCTAATGTTAAATTTTGTTTTAAGTTTAGAGAATCATGTCAGAATTGACACCACTGTTGTGAATTTTAAGTATAGGTTTAGATAGTCATGCCAGAATCAACACCAATATATAATAATACAAACAAAATAAAATTTTATTCGTCGTTCTATCTAAATGTACGTTCGGAACTTGTGAAAAATTTTACTTTGGCAACACTCTATAGTTTTTCATTCAAATTCTCACTCATCATGATTTGTCCATTCACTCCACTCATTCAACCGATGTCATTTGTTTTGTTTTTGCTGTGTTGCTGTGCCTCATAAAAATTGAGTTTTTCCGCGCATTTATATAAATGTGCTGGTTAGCGGTGATAAAAATACTTGGATAGACTTTTAAAATATAATCTTCAATTGTGCTTAATAAACAACGAGACACTTCAGAAGGCGGTCGCTCCTAATCCTAAATGGTATCAGTCAGTGTAGATTGGTTCGTCTCAAATAAAGAGAACTTATCTCAGAAATGCAGAATCTCCTGTTTACTGATTGATTAGCCGTCGCTTGCTTTATTAGTTCGTTGCGCGGAGTGATATTGAATGGACGACAGTGCCTCCTAGAAATATGGACAGTTAATTTCTTCCAGATCTCGAGGTATATCGTAAATAAAGTGTCCCTTTTTATTACTAAAAGGTTATCCACGGATAAAAAGAACGCTTTTTAAAACTCAAAAATGAGCGCAACAAGTTCAGTGTTCCCGGGATCGGGATACTTCCCTGAATATATTTGGACGTTCGTTGAAGAGTTGGATGAGCATCCTTGGTTATTCTCTGCTCTTGCATCGGTTTTAGTGGGTTTAAGCGGCATATTGCCGCTGTTAATAATCCCTATAGATGAAACTGCATCATTTAAAGACGGAGGTAAGTTTGAATTTTATATTGTTTACATTACATTAGGTGCTTACAAAAGAAAACTATTTTTAGGAACGCATGTCATTCACACGCGCCAACAATCAAGCGGCATTAATGAGCTCCTTTGTTCAAAATTATCATATTTATCTTAGTTTGTAAATTGTAAGAAGTGATGAAAATTAAAAGAAAATAATGGCTTAACTGTTACAAACTCTGTTTTATCATAACATTTAGGTAATTGTAATTTAGCACACCTTATTATTTAGTTCTGATTTGATATTATTTAAATCTTACATAGTTTTTGAATAAAGTAAAAGAAGTAAGTAGCTATGTTTATTATGAATAAATTTTAAAGTTTAACAATAAAATGTGCCGAGTTCAATAAGTGGGACATAGATAGAGATGTAATTATTAAAAAAAACTTTTCTTGATACATAAACATTAAGATATTTTTGATGAAAGCTTATTTAAAGCTTGCTAAATAATTTAGTAAAAACATATTTTTTTTTATTATGACCATTGTTTATTTATCACATGTTTTCACGCACACACACACATTAAATAAAACTATTTTACAACTAAGTATGTCTTTTATAATACTTTTATACATATCTCTACTTTTAGCTGCATTCTCAAGAGTATGACTTTTTATTACTTTTAATCAGCTATCTATGCTATAAAAAGTATATAGATATATATTTAATAACCATTGTTGTGAGAAAAGAAAATGATACAACATCAACATTCAGTCATCTATTGATATGAAACATGGTACAGTTGTTTTGCAGTTGTTGTAGACATTCAGATCTGTTGATATGTAACAAGCAATCTCTTTTTGCAGTTTTTATTGATATTGGCACCCTTGTCATTTCCCACATTAATATTTTTTTATTTACATAATAACACAGGCATCCGCTAATTTAGTACAATTCCATGTGTGGGAAACTAGCAAATCTTTTCATATTTTTTCTAAGCATTTCATAAAATCTTTAGGGCTTGCCTGCACTGCGATTATTCACCTCATGATTTTCATTCTCACATAATTATTAAATTCCATGAATGGAGTTACACCTATTATGCATTGCGATTAAGAGGACATAAAATTTTTGACATTTCAATGTGGTTCCCGGCTGTGACGAAGGTCTTAAATAAACAACCACATAAAATCAAAATCCATATCCACTTCGCATCCAATTTCCATCAAATCACAGGTTTTAATGCTGCGCGAATTTTATACTGCCAGTACTGCTACTCTTATAAAGATTTAATATGTAACATAATTGCAATATTCCCAGTAATATTTGCTTTTGATTGGTTAATGGACATGTGAGCTTTAGGATATTTGACAAGTCTTAGAAAACAATCTGACGTTATTTACTCATGTTTATGGAGTCCATAAAAAGAATGAATGAATGAATATTCATCATTCTCTTGTGTATTTTTAGTAAAAAAACAATCAAAAATTCAAGTTGCCATGAAAATGTTTCTCTATACATTATGGCATCTCACTAGTGTGTGATGTCACATGACTGTCATTAAAACAGCAAAAGATACAAATGTAATGTCACTCTAACTGGAAGTTTACTAGCGCGTGACATCATTTTAGTCTTCGCCAATCCCAGGCGTATCGGTCACATAAGCATGGAATAAAAAAACATTTCTTTTGAATATTTTTCTAGAATATTTATTAATTATTTGTTTTCTCAGAATCACTGCTTAAAATCAAATTAAATACAGATGATGACAGATGCCAAAAAATAGCCTATTCTTATTGTTTTGCTTAAAGGTAAATAAGCTCTAATGATGGATATGTTACTTTAAGCTCAAGTTTTGCTTTATGAGACTATCAGTAGCCAGTTGTAAGAATTATAAAAACACAAAAAGTACCAATCAAACGGATTTAAAAATCATTGTTTATACAATTGAAGTGGGCGTCTTTAGTGCATTTTTACTTTTTGGAAACGGTATAAATATTGCTTTTTGATTTATTGTTATTTTTTATATCTAGTCATTTACCAAAATTTTTTTGTTCTTGTGTTTGTGTAATTTTTTGTGTAATTACACAATTATATTTGGTGAATCAATATGTACTACTTCATTTGTTCAATACCTACTTCTGTAATTTTTAGTTATTTCTTTGAGGACCAAATATCAGTTGCTAGTTACAGGTGCCACTTGTTCATTGAAATTGCACTACCTTGCGAAACTGTTAAGTTAGGAAATTAACAATACAGAGTTGACATTGGGTAATCTGTGTCTCGATGAAACAGTTGACTAATATCTTTGCTTTTACCCAAAGTTAGGTTTTGCTATTTGCTAAACATTGAGACAAATTATTCTTCCTGGAAGATTTTTAAGATATTAATGGGCTGATGATGGTTGCTTTTGGGGATATCATCCAAAGAACTGAACACCCCGTCCGCCACTCTGCATAGGACTTACCAAGATCAAATGAGTAAATTTATAAAAAGACCTGTGTGACGAGCTAAAAAAATCGACTGTACATTTTTTGAGATTATGGCTGCTTCTTGATATGCCAATGTCTGGGTTAAAAGGGACAAGGTATTAGCTGAGCCTGTACGGTTTTGTGGATGTTGGTCCGTATTCCAGCTGCAGACTCGTTAAGTATCTGTAACAACACATAGACAGACATTTATGATGGCACCAATGAATTAAATATGGGTGTATTCATGTTATATACCTAACTAGGGTTAGAGGAGGAATTTTATTGTGGTACTAGAATTATATCATTTGACTGGTGTCATGACCCATTGCAGATTAGTGGGTGGTAATGACCAACGGCTCGAAGTCGCAGCAGACATATCCACTCGGAAAGGGATCGTCACCGTATTAACGAGCCGTTCAGTATTCTTTCTATGAAACTCTCTACTGCAACGCACACTAATCGGAATCGTAACGTAATCGCCTCGCCTCGGGACAAGCTCGTGTTGACATTTATTCTAAAAGAGCTTTACAGCAAGTGAGACGTTCCTTGCGATCGTTGGATTAAGTGACGCTGACGCCTACGTACTATTTCATTCCTTCAGCTGGTTATGACGTCATTCGCCAGATCTTATTTCATAGCTCAGTGAGCTTTATTGGAAAAACAGCTGCGCTGCTTTAGCTGATAACGTTCTGTTATTGATATCCTATCATGTATTATTTTAATAATTTTCTTTTAGGCGTTCTCAGTAACTTAAAGTCCTGTGTTGTCTGTGAATTTTATTGACTCCTCTGACTGTTATATAAACAGTATATAAAAGGGTGATTTTTGCAAGCGCATAGAAACTGCAGTGATATCTTTTACTTAACTTCATTTTTTTTAATCTCGATCTGCAGTTCATGTACATATCTAAAAAATAATCTACGACTTGTTATTTCAGCTAATAATACACACGTAGTTGATAAACATCTTATCTCGTACGTTTTGGATAAACCATCATGATTACATCTTCAAAATATACCTACTACAAGTAGCATCATACTTTAGGCCCTGTGCGCACTGCGCGGCATTAAATGCAAGAGATCTTCATAATATTCGGAGACAATGGACACTGGTAAACACAGTAAAGCAAAGCATCTCCGAGTTTACACAAAATAAAAAATAACCGAATTAAATCATGTCATGTTTTTACTTCCAAATGTGTAGCTGAATCATTATAGAATACATAGTAAACAATGATTGGTTATGACCACACACAACCCATCCACCCAGACTCAAATGAATAAAGCAAACCAGAGTTCAATACAGAATTCTGGAAAAAATCAATTCCAAGACCTCAGGATGGAGACGCCGCGAGGCAAGCAGTATTTCGGCTACTTACAGACTATTTTATCAAGTATTTGGTCATGAGTCATGATGAAATCAGTTACGGTTGCTACCTAACATTTCAGCATCAATAATTTCAATTGCGAGTGACGTAACGTGCGCCAGTTTATGTTCAAACGTTTTCTATGCTATGGCTGCAACGAAATTATTGGATGAGTCTGATGAACCTAGTCAGTACTGCAGGGTTGTCTGGACTTTTAAACTGAGTTTACAACGGTTCGGTATATCCAATCGACAAGATTTTGCTTCGGCTATATCGTACTAATCTTGCTCTAAGAAATGTACGTCATCATTTTCATTAGAGACCAAGCCACATCTCTTAAATTTACCAGATATGCAGAAGTATATTCAATTATAATATATATTGGTTACAAAGAATTGCAGCCCTTTGATTTACAGTCAAATATAACAAAAATCAATGAAACAAAACTAGTCGTAGAGTTTTTCGTATGTGAAATACTGTGGCGAACAAAGTGCATGTCGGTAGTGACATGTGTCGTACGAACTGGGTAAAGATTACCCCTTGGAAGCTAAGTAAGAGTTCCTAGTTTTCGTAGCTATTGGATAGCACCATGTTAGACATCGATGTCTGTTGTCAAGTACTGAGGGGCTACCGTCTATCGGGATTGCTTTTCCTGCTGCTATGGCTTATGATTTCATTTTGATATTTCTGACCGTCGAAGGTTTTCGAATGCAATAACAATATTAAAGAAACTGAGAGCGATGTATTTCAAACCTGCAGCATTCTGGAATAACAAAATGAAATCATAACCTATAGCAATAGCCAAACCAATCCTGTAAGGCGGTAGGCCCACTCATTTTCATAGTAGTCTTGTCAATCTTCAGACACCTCAAAAGCGGTGCCGACAACCAATTTGCCTTCTGCAACTATTGCTAACAGTTTTAAGGGTTTTCTTTTTATCAGAAGTTCACGCTTTCTTTTTTGTCAAAAGACCAGATCTCTACTAAAAGTTACCGCAAGCTATTTCCATACCGATAAAAAATAATAAAATAAATAAATAATTCCAACACTCACACCAATTAGCCTAGCCCCAAAGTAAGCAATGGTAGGCTGTGTAACGATGTGGATGTGGGATGCTAGGGTAACGGATATAATACATATACTTTACATATATAAGTATATCATATTAAACATCCATGACTGGAGTACAAATGCTCG